TTGAGGGAAAATAACTATGATGGCTTAAAAATGGGTTAGTATGTGTTAAAAGACCATTTTATTTTTAAATGTAAGATAATCTCATTATTGCTGGGAGCTCAGAATGATATGTCACCTGCTTCCTAACAATATTCAGCAGAACACAACTCTGCAGGCTGAGTCAAGAAATACCTATCAACAGAAATGTGACAGGACTAAATAATATATATACACTTTTTAATGTGTATATATTTTTAATTGGTTGCATTGATGTTATTTGCCATTGGATCTCTTCATGTTCCTTTGACTGCACTTTCAGCACATGCATTATGCTAAGCATGTTAATACTCACTTAGCAAATACTGTTGTAATTCTTTATTAGGATTAAAATGATGCAGCTGACCTCTAAAATTCAGAAAACCAGCTCTGTTGGATTGAGGTGAGAGACGGGAAGACTGACAGACAGGGACAGAAGAATTGCTACATTCACCTCAAACTTGCAACCAGTTTTGCACTAACTGCATGTTGTGCGAATGAACAAACATCAACTAACTAGCATGTAGTTACATGCAGTTGTAGATGTGGAGCATATTTTCAGTAAAAGATAACTTATTCTGTTACTGGTCAACGTGTACAAATACCTGAGGAGAGGATGTAAAGATGATGGAGCCAAACTCTTCTTAGTGGGGCCCAGCAATAAGGACAGGAAGTAATGGATACAAATTGAAACACAGGAAGTTTAATCTATATATGAGGAAGAATTTACTGTTAGAATGACAGAGAACTGGACCAAGCTGCCCAGAAAGGTTGTGGAGTCTCCTTCTTTGGAGATACTGAAAATGGTGTAGGAAGACTGGACTTGAAGTGATGCTGTATATAAAAGTTACAAAACTGATGAAAAACTTAAAAGTTTAACATTAAAGTTTTGTTTTAAGAGAGTTTAGCTGATATGATTTTCTTCTTTCTACTTCCTCAGAGCATATATATCATAAATTAGGATCCTTATATGATTGCTTAAAATTGCTTGGATTCAATAGAATCATAACTTCTTAACAAGAGGTAACTTGTCATTTTTCCCCGTTATCCACCATCTGATTTGTCTTTTGGGAGAAATAAAATAAATATGAAATGACTATACGCTGTCTTCTAAAGAAGTTTTTTTTTTTTTTTAAAAAAAAGGCAAAAGAAAACACAAAAAGAACTAATTTAAACAGGTAACAAGGTTTAAGTCAAATTAAACTACTTAACAGTTTGGCTGTACTTCCTGACAACTTAGACTCCACACCAGCAAATGGATGTAAATGAGGAGAGAAGAATCCATTTGACAGAGGGCTGAGTGCTGCTGTGCCCTGTGAGTTCCCTTTGCTCAGTGCCACACTTCTGGTGACACTTCTGGTCTTCCTGACTGATATCAGTACAGTTCAGTAATGCAAATTTAGTAGCTATTGCTTTTTGGCAGCGAATGTTGGTGGGTTTTTTACTTGTCCAGTGTCCTCTGTGTTATGCATAACTGAGGCAGCAGGGGGAGCCCAAAGATTTTGCTCATCAAAGAGACAGAATGACAGTGACAATAACATTTGCAATGACAATGCAAGATATAGGTTCTGTAAAGACTTCTTTAAAACTAATGTATCATATGCATAGCCCTTTATTATTTAGCTGGTAATTTTAAATCCCAGATTTTTTCAAGGCTAATGGCTAGATTTAGTTTTGCTTGCTTAAAATCTTCGGTGTCAAGTTGGAGAAAAATTATCAATATAAAATCTCTTTTTTTTTTGAATTAAATGAGTTATTAAAATAAGTTTTTGAATGTATAATGATTTAGAACACATACCAGGATATAGGTGCCTGAATTGTAAGGATTACAGTACATAATGGTAAAATATTGAAGAGCAGTACATTGACTTTGTCTCAACAACACAAATTCAGTCGTAGCACAGCACAAAATTGTTTTCCATTGTAATTTTAAGGTGAAAAGATTTGCATCCCTTTTCAAACACCATTTTTCAGTGCTGGGGACCAGTAAAACAAATAAATACACAATAGAAAGTCCTACCTATGCATCAGTATTTGTTGTTTTAAAAAGCCAAATTTATTTCTTTGAGAATTCAACTGCTGTTGATCATAAGAAAAAATTTGTTTTGCACTGTCAGTGAATGTTATAAACAGAATATCAGTATCATGAAACCAGCATTTGTCCTAACATCAAGGTTATGCTCAATTGTCCAGACTTGAAATGCATGTAATAATATTACCAGTCCCAAAATTTGGCCACGTTTTGATATTTTTTCTATAATAACTTTTATGTATCAGGTCAAATTTGTGTCTTTAATGGCATCCATTTTATATAAAAGCCCCTTTAACTTTATTGTATTTTCTTTCCTACTGAAAGATTTTTCTTCTTTTTTTTTTTTCTTTTTTCCTAGAAATCCAGTCAAGGTTACATAGTTCCTAGTACATTTAATGTTTTTATTGACCTGTTTTCTAGGCAACATAGACCAAAATATAATTTCATTATAAATGGGTAACTATGTAATGTAAAATAACCTCAAGGTAAGGCTAAAATGGAAATAATGAAACTAAATCAAGGAACACATAGCTTGTGTACATTTCTTTTAGGGCCAAATTCCTGTTCTTCAGAGGCAGCAGCTACAGAGGGAAGGTGATTTTCCTGAGCTCGGTAGTGTTGTGTATTCCACAGTAATAAAAGATATGAGTTATGATCCGATTCACCCAGGGGTGAGCTATTTTACGTAAAGGAAGGAATTTGTTTAATTACCCTGAATTGCTCGGAATTTTCTAGCCAGCTGTTATCTGGTATAAACACCCACCTCTGCCATAAATGCCACTAATGCCAGTGCCAGAAGCTATGGTTTTGCTCACATCTGGATACACTCTCTTTGGAGAGCTGTGTTCCCTGAGCACTTAACTAGTTTGCCTCATCCTGCATTCCGGTTTCAAGCCACTATGTAGGAGGTTCATATATGGCACTAAAACCCACTCAAAAAATTGCTCTTGTTCAGCCTGAAGATCTCAGGCAGCTTTGTTTGCACCCTGCTAGCAGCTGGGCAGAGTTTTCAGACAGGTTTTACAATTACCAAATTATGTTGTTAAGTTATTAAATAAGCATTCTACTTGTGCAGATGTCAGAAGTGGCTTGCCAAGGCCAGGTGCAGTTTGGCAGCTCAGATTAGAACTCATAGTTTTTAGCTTGCAGGCCTGCGTTTTTAGAAGAAAATCATTTAGCTCTCCAGATTGAAAGTACTATTGAGCACTAAGTACTTAAGATGAGCAATATGCTGAAGGATACAAATATTCTACAAATATTTGCTTAAGTCTATCATTCTTTTGTCATACTAAGTATAAATACAAAAAAGATGTGCTGTCTGGATTTATAAAGTGATTACTAAATGGTACTGGAAGGACCTGTTTACACTTCTAATTTCTTTTCCACTTTGGATGTGAACTTGAACACTTTATTTCCAAATCTACGGCAATTCTTATGTAGGAGCAACTTAAATTTGCCAAAAATCTTTTTTATACTGATTTAATTGTTGTATCTTTCTGCTTTACTGACCCTGTGGTCTCTCTTCTGCTTTGCTCTAGATCCATCCATTCAGCCGTTAAAGAGTAGCTGCTGTAGAGCTCTATTCTAATTCTGCGGATATTGCTTAATCCTCTGATCAAACCTGAATAAATCTCCTTGAATGCTATGTCAATCTGTTTGGGATTTGCAATCTGGCAAGGCACCCAAGCTGAAATCTAAATTAAATCAATTTTCTACCTGGAAAGAATTGTATGCCTGTCATAGTAGCCTCTACCACAGTGTTTCAAGGTTTGTAAAGATCGAGCAGCTATGAATATCACTTTGGTGATAAAGGTACTAAATATGACTTTTTGAATTATTTATTTCCTAACTTGGCATTCCTAACTATGACTTTGGCCACACTGAAAGGTTTCATTTTGCTCTTACTAAATAATAATTCATAAGGATGGCTTTTGCTCAGTATTATTCCTTTATCTTCTCTTTTGGCTACACCAATCATTTTTAGTTCATCTGTGTTCTGTCATTTCAACTGTATATCCTGATCTCTGAAATTGTTGGGATTTTTAAGCATTTACTATATTTGGAACTTTCAGACTCCAACAGCTTCTTTTCTTCATCTCTCTATGTTAACCCCATTTGTCATCAAATTACTGTATAACTGCTTTCAAGCATGTTTGGTTTCCTTGACTCTTGCACCTTTGGAGCCTAATCACTTGCAGTAATCATTCTAACATTAAAATTTGTGCAGAGAAAAGGGAGGCACTTGCATAGATGCCTATATCTCCACTGTTATCAAGCTGTATCAAGGGTACTCATTGCTCCAAGGTACTGAGGTTCCTACTATCTTTTGATGTGGACCTCTCTTTCTCTTTATTTCTTTAAAATAGCCAGTCTTCATATACTGCAGCTTCTGACTTTCCCTTTTAATAGTCAAATTATAGATTTATCTAAAAAAACTTCCAATACACTTAAATTTACCCCAATTGGAGAATTCATAGTGAAATTTTATATACCACCACTCCATCTTAGTTATAATATTGTCTGTATGCATTAGCTCTTCAGAGAAAGGATTTTTTTTTTCATCCCAATCTGCACTATATACATTTAAATTATAAATACTGTATACCAAGTGACATAAGTTGACATTTTTGTGTTTGGAGAGCTGAAATTCCATAGAAGACTAATAACTTTCTAATTGAAAATAATGAATTCAATACACCAATCAAATAAAACTTATAAATAAAAAAAATTGCCTTTATATTTTACTGATATATTTGTTAGTATGGCAATGTATTTTATGTTAGAGAAATAAATTGCCAAATTAAATGTTTTCACTCTTATCTGTGCCAGGGAAGGTTTTAAGCATTTCCTTCTCTGTTTTGTTCCAAGTGAAGAGAAGCCCTAACTTGCTTTTAAGCTCATTGAATTTTCTTTAACTTGAACTTTAAATTTTGTTTGAGGTAAAATATCTTACCATGGTTGTCTCTGCAATGGATCCAAAGCTGTTTATAAATATGTTGCATGTGACATTAACTGGAGGGCCTGCAAAAGAAAAAAACACCAGTCCCTGTTCCAGAATCATTGCTTATTGAGTGACTGTAAAAATATATTTACCCAGTAAGATGTTATGAAACGAAGAATCATTGACTTAGGTAGAAATAACGCTATATTCAGGACTCATTTAATAGGAAATTGAATGATTTCTAGTAATTAATAGATTTTTCCTCTTTATTTTTCTTAAAGGTACACTACTAACTGGCCAGTTTTAGGACTAATAAAAGCAGTTCACTTGCACAAGGCGTTGCTATGCAAAAACAAACATATTTTTTGAAGTATATAGCTAAAAGTATTGTTACAAACTAAAAGTATTGTTACAGGAGTTTTAGGGCCAGAATCGCTTCTCACGACAATTAGGGGGAAAAAAAGTGACCTTTTTCACTCAAGACAGCTTCTATTTTTAATGTTATCTGTCATCAGTGGTAACAGAAATACATTATTGCTGCCCTTATCTCTACCATGCTGACAAGAACAAATGTGGATAAGAAAGAATGACTTGGAATTCCATTATCATTTATTTTACATCCACAAAATGGTTAAGAATCCATTTAGGCTGAGTTTTCTGTTACCAGAAGTCTTAAGCTAGCTGTTGTTCTGTCTGATTCTGCATTTGTGAAGCATTAGGAATGGCAGAGTAGTCACGATGACGGCTGAACAATGAATCAGGTCTTCATGGGCGAGATCTTAAATTACTTTTTATCTGAAAGTCTCTGTAAAAATGGTGTTGCAGTATTGCATGATAATTTCTTCATTACTTCTTATCAAATTCAGTCAATATACACTGGAAACAAGTTTTTTTTTTCTGTCAAAAGTCTTTCTGTCACCCTCCTGCACCTTGATATTTCTACATTGTTAATGCAGCTCAATATTGGAAATGCTGATTTCATTTTGAGCAGTCACTAGTAATGAAAGTTCTGTATTAGGAGTTTGAGGACTGGACTTGCAAACATTTATGTAATATTTATTTTATAATGTCACTGAAATAATAAGCCACTATATCAATGCTGATGCTTCACAATCAGCAAACTTGAAGAATCAGGATGTTCATTAACAATCTGGCTAACAAGACACAATTTGCAATATCTAACTTCCTTTCCTTAAGGTGACATTTGTTTTGATGTACAGCTATTGTAGCAAAAAAAAATTACGATGTGTACTTTTATCTTTTTTAGTACACAAAACTACACACGTGAAGCGAAGTTATCAGGTAAGAAAGTAACACTTTGCAGTCACTTTGACATTGTCATGATACTTGTTTATTTATTTAGAGCTGCTGACCATATTCAATATTTCTTAGAAGTGAGTAAAATTGGGATGGAATTGCTGAAAAGGGTCAAGAGAAAAAGAAAAAGCAGAGGAGATAAAGGCAGAGGTCTCTGACAGACAGAGAATTGTTCTCAATGACTGTTAGGTGATTTGTTTGCAGGCTAATTTCCCTTTCTGTGACCTTTACTCTAAGAACTTTAGTAGTACTTACTTCAAAATCAGGATGGTATTATCATGTTTAAAATAATATTTTGTTTTAAAATGATATAACACCATATTTTTTTTATATAAAAAAGCCCTAAATCTTTGCAACTCTGTTGCTTAATTTCAAAAGCAGCATTACAAAGAGATAGTTAATAGCTAGTTAAAAAGAAGGGACTAGGAGAAGCTAAAAGCAGCTTGCAAACAGCTGATGAATTGGCTCAAAATAAAAATGAACTCCTCCAAACCATGGTCAAGTAGAAGCATAAGTGAGGCTGTTTAAACTGGAAGTCTTTTTCAATATCATGAAATCAGGCAAGTAAAAGTAAATTTATAATAAGGTAGGCCAAAATTAAAAAATAAAGCTGAAACTCACTGAGGACAGACAATTTAGCAATCATAGCTGTCTACAAGGCATTAAAAAGAGGAATCCTGCCAAAAGTTGGAAGATGAAGTCAGAAGCAGATGATTAAGACATAAAACTATTCATGAAAGTAAAAAAGATCAGAGGAAAAAGCCTGAAGGAATTCTTTGTATTGGCGTTTGTCCCCAGGGGCTGCCAGGGTCAGAAACCAGAGCTGCTCATGGGAGATTTGTGTGAAGACTGTAGCAGGTGTTTCAGACCAAGAGAGCACAAGCAAATTGTCATGAGGTAACGTCAAGACAGAGATTATAAAAATCTTAGTGAAACTGTGAAAATATTAATCACTGTGAGTCAGCTGCCACCTGTGCCAGTTTTGGTATCCATGGAAAGGAATGTGTGTTGTGTCTGACAGCTATCAAATCAATTAAAAATGAAAAATGGTTACAGGGCTGATGTTGGGAGCTGTTTTCTTCTTAGTCTAACCTCTGCACTAACCACTTAATTTGATAGAGATTATGAAAAGTAATACATTTAGGAAATATGGATGAATATGATACTTTTGTATTGTCAGTAACAACTGAAAAAAAAGGAGGAATGCAAATAGATTTAAAAAAAAAAAAAAAAAGTAGTACTATACATATAGTAGTACTATACATATCATGAACTTGAATACTTCAAAAGTTCTCCTCACAAGACCTTTAAAGGATGTATTAGAGGAAAAAAGAGAGATGTCAAGAAGGCAGTCAAGGATGACAAGCTCTTTGAAATGCTGCCATACATAGATATATGCATTCATAGATAGAAAAAGGCTCTTCAAGTCAGAAATGTGGTGATAGAGGGGCAGATATAAGTATCTACAAAGCTGTAAAGATGTATAGGATCCATTTTTTCTCCATTTCTCAAAATGACAAATATCAATAAAACAAATGACAGTAAGATGGTCAGTCACTAGATTGAAAACAAACAGAAAAAGGATTCTTTGAACAATTCTAGAACATGAAGAATTTATTGTCATAAAATATTGTAGAGTCTAAGGTATAAACAATTTTCAAAAGTGATTAAAAGAATGTACTTGTTTAAATCGCTGGTCTGTATACAGGTCCTGACTTAAGAAATTCTAAAACTAATGATTGCTAAATGCTGTTTACAAATACCAAAGCAAGAAACATTTTATACTTTCATATATAAAATATTTGTATATAAAATGATAAAATGATATACAAAAGCTTATTTGATTTTCACTAGAGGTTACATTCTGTACTGTATAGATTTAAAAAATAAACATCTCTTCTATGTCATATATTGAGCTTGATAATGAAGTGAGTCAATTCTTTAACCATAATATCAGATCAATAGATATTTCAATAGAAAATATTAGATGAATTATGAATATATCAGTAGAAAAAAAAAACAAAACCAAGAAGAAAGTCTAGTAGGATTTACTAGTAATTCAATGTAAATAGAAAGTGTTATTTCTATTAAAAGTGAGAAAAGAAAATATGTCCAACCAATTTGTGATGTTCCCATATTTTATTTAAGCACTGGGAAAGCAAGCATTCTTCATTTCTGCAGAAAAACAACCTCAGCAAATTTGTAGCAGAAAATAAATGGTGTTTAAAAATTCAAAGAAAGTGAAAGAAGTCCCAAGTATTTCTTCGTAGTTCCATAAGGATTTTTTTTGGCCAGGTAGGCAAAACATTGTACACTTCTGGATTATGCTAGGTGCTTTGGAAATCACATGTATAAAAATCATCTACATTTCTGAAGACTAAAAATGAGACTTTTTAATTAAATTTACTTTTGAATAAACAGTAAAATGAGGAGCTTCTCTGGGGAAAGTGACAAATTGTCAGGTTTAATCCTCTCTAAATAGAACAAGTCAAGTCCTAGAACAGAAGCTGTGGAAAAGAGAAGGATCTGTCACTACTTTAGTCTCAGATTGATAGGCCTGTTGCAGCTGCCTGGGTTGAAGAGAGCTGCTGTCCACCCTCACTCCGGAAGGAATGATTGTGCAGCAAGAGAAGTTGTAGCGTAAAAGTTCCCTGGGGGCCCTAGGTACGTGCTCTGGATGCTCGCACAACATGTAGCCTGCATTGCTGCATCTTTGTGATTTGGAGGCTAATGTGGGTCTTTTTTTTTTCTTACATGAGCACTCTGTAGAGTTAGAGAAAACAGTTAATTTTACTGGAAAAGTGAGAAGTTGCTCATGCTGTCTTTCTGACTTTTTCTGTATATCTCAGTGTTGCTAGGCACATTTGTCTCTGTTTTTCCTATAACAGTAGGAGACTTATGAGGGATTACCCTTTGTGTGGCAGTATGATTAACAGAGCCACAGTGGGAAGTGAAGAATTCATCAATGACAAACTGGGACAGAGTCCTCGAAACCTGAATATCTCAGGGGCATCAGTACCAGTGGCTTCATTTCATATGGCATGTTCAACTAATGGATTTAACAGATTTGAAAAGTAGTAAAGCATGATTATCCGTATTGAGATCACAGTAAATGTAATTATATGAGTCAAAATTAATAGCATACAGTTTGTCATGTTTTCAAAGAGCCCTCTACCGAGTGTCAAGGAGCAAATGACAATGTTTTCTAAGCATCATGGAGAAGTATTTATTGCGTAATGTGAGGCTGACATTTTCTCTTTCAAACTATATGCAGGAATTCAGTATTTAGTTTTATTTGAATTATGACACCATATTGACTGCATTGTACTACTAGAAATTTTCCCAAGATGTCAGCAATAAAACTGAGCTTCTCTGAAAGAGCTGCAACACAGCCTTCACCGTTTTGTTTTGTACAAAGCTGTTCTTTAGCCTGTTCTTAGGAGTCTGAGTCAATGACAGTTTTTACATAAAGACTTCACAGTTTGGTCTAAATATGAAAAATACTGAAGTATTCCCCATATTTTAAGGCGAAAAAGTACTCTAGAATGTGTACTATCTAAGTAGTAGAAGCATCCTGATACAGTTTTGACTTGCAAGAAATAAAATGTGAACAAAATTTTTACAGGAGTTCTTCATTTGTGTTTCCCTCCATAGCTAAATAAATATTACTACTCTTTAGTCTGTTCTTTCTATTGGGTGAACATAAGCAAGCTATATCTGTTATCCAAAATGAGAGCATTCAGGCAAAATATATGATTCTGTGTTACCTATCAAGATTAAATATGACAGAAAGAAGTTAAAATTGTTGGCTACATAGGAATTCTAGGAAAGTGACAAGTAAAATGGGTTGGGGGCAGGCTGATGAGCTGAGACCTCTTAGTAGTACTTGTTCTGTTTCTTTAAAACCCTTGATAACTTAAAAATTCAAGAAGGCATAAAGTTCCAGCACTTGTACTAGGAATAATAAAATTAGCCAGAAAGTGGTAAAGTCACTTAAGGAGAGACTTATTCTTTGTGATAGATCTGAATCATTTTAGGCAGATTTGCTCAAACTGCATAGCTGTCTAGAAGATTTAGAATGTGCACTTTTTGATAAAGAACAATGTCAAATTAGGTTTTTGTCTCTTTAAATTTCAACGGTTACAAAACAAGGCCCTTGAATTGAGGCGAGTCTTTTGAATTATACATTCAAGAAGCACTATGTTGAATCCACTAATCTCTAAACCATCTGGCTGATCTTCAGTGTAACCCCATCAGAAGACTGTGATTGCATGGTGTCTATGACAAGCTCCAAAATCCAATCCCCAAATGAACTGCTAAGATGCAAGTGCCTTGTTTTTAAACACTTGTTTGTAGCACTTCAGGAGACTCGCAGAAGAAAAACTACAGTGCTCAGACTTCGCCTGAGGTCTTTTGCCCAGCACAGCTTTACCTTAGGTTGAACTTGCAGTTTACATTCTAAGGAATATAGTGTGGGAACAAGTCAAGATAACTTTAAAAAGAAGCAAAAATATTTTCAGAGATGCCATACATATAAAAAGTCATTTTAGAAGTAGTGTATTGCATTAGTGTGCCAATATTGTTTAATACACCAGTTTTTCCCTGCCTTTCAAGAAACCTACCACAAGACTATTCTTCAGAGTGCTTCTGGGAAATACTTTCCAAGGGAATTATTCTGTATAGATATGGTGAGTGTTAATTAACAGTCTAAGTCTTTTTGGTGATATGCTTCCAGTTCATGTTTTTTTTCTTTTTGAGAAATATCAGCACTGCTAACTTAGTAAAATCTATGCATTTCCAGCTGCAGTAAATTTTAGATATTAAGTTTATATATATAGCACTGACTTTTAAAGGCATACTGATGAGGAAGTAATTTTCCCAACTGCTTGTTTTATCCTTGTGAGTCAGACAAATTTTGGCCAAAAAAGAAAAAAGAGGAACAACAAATAACAATGGCTGTAGAAGCATAACTATGTATGTTTTTGTGACCCAGTGGCATAAAAAGACTATAAAGCTCAGTGCTAAGCAAGAATTAAGATGGAAAATTTAAGATGTAAAAAGTGAGAATTCACATCCATTGAAAATTTCAGAAAAAAATAGAAAAAGAACTAATCTGTTGATAAGTTAAACTGTCCAAAGACTACATTTGGCCACTGTGAAAGCGACAGGAATAGAGTATGTTGCTACTGAAGTTAAAGACTATAGCAAAGATAGGGCAAGGGAGGTAACATTTTTTCAAAGAGATTATATTTGTTTTTTTGCTTATTTTGTTTTCTTTTTACAATTGTTCCAGAAATTACATTTATATGAAAGGAATACTGAATTATGTGACAGGTTAGGTTTGAAATTACCTTTGAAATTTGGTCTGATCCTTGCATCGTATCCTGACATGCGACCCATTAGCTTATCCAGGAAATCAGATGGTGACATTGGCATACTACGAGATCTTGCGCTGTCTGTTTCCTTTGTGGCTACCAAACTAACAACAAGGAAAAAAAAGAACAAAAAAATTCATTAACTTAGATTTTTTTTGAATAGAATTTTATTTTTTTTCATATTTAATCACCTAATAGTGTATGAACAAGAAAACAGCAAAGCTGAAACTGACTGTTTAACTAGCTTGTACTTAAAAAATAATAGCAAAGAATTAATTTCCTTTATATGGAAATAGTAAATTCTTTTTTTTTTACCTATTTTTTATCTTTTTCTTTTTTTTTCTTGAAGTTCAAACTGATAGAATAGTATTAATGCTTCTGGACATTAATATACTTTCAGTCATTAGTAACTGATACTTTATACAGAACTGCAGAAATAAAAATTACATTAGCCATACAAATAGCATGTAGAAGATAGCAATTTGGAATCAGCTCTAAGACCAATCTGTTTAACTGGGTGTGATTTGGTAGCAGCCTATGCCAGAAAGTAGTAGTCAAATTGTTTATAGAATAGTGCTTCCACTACCATTTTTTATTCAATGAATGTTTTAGATAATATGATCATTGATATCATATGTTTATGCATATAATATCAAATAATTTCTCGGTAGATTGTATTCTTTAACATCATCTTTGAGGTTCATTTTCCACTAAAACAAAAATGACTGCTGTGGTGGAAAAAAAACTTACTGGAGGAACTATCTTAGGGCAAAATTTTCATCTCAGAGCCACATGGCAAATGTCATCTCAGATAGCCTCCTCGCCACACATATGCAGAACTCCCACTGACATTCTAAAGTGTGTTCTGCACACATCAAGAGAGAAGAATATCAGCACTGAGATCAGCCGTGTGGATCCTCCAAAAACAAGGTCTTTAGTTGTAGAAAAAGCCTGTTTTGTAGAAGTCTTACTTGAGTGCTAACCAATATGTTGAAAAATGAACATAGTTAATAACAATATGTATTTAAAGTGCAAGTAATATCATCTTACAACATGCGACTGAAACCATAAATGGTTTTAAGAGCCTGAAGGAAGATACAAAACTCATTGTTACGCTGATGTTTACTCAAAATCTACTACCAATGAAAATACCTCTCACCCAGTTTTAAGACAATTGTTTCCTACTAGTGCCAGTTAATTCTTCTAAAAGTGCTTAAATATACCTTTATTTTGAGTTACATACAAGAAAGAATACAAATTCCAGTTTTCTAACACAAAATTCACTGTAGTTTTCTAACTCATTGAAATGTTGAATTTTACTTGTTAGCAATACATAATATTCAGAAAAAAAATCAATATTTTCTTTTCTCAGTGCAATTTAAAGTTATTGAGACACATTTTATTCCTGCTGGCCTCTGCCTTTTTTTTTTCAGCATTGAACCCTCTGAGCGGGTCTGGTTCTTTGCAGTCCTGCAACTCAGAGTCATTTTTATTTCTGTCAGAGGTTGTACATGGTTATAAAGTGAAAAGAAAAGAAAAGAAAAGAAAAGAAAAGAAAAGAAAAGAAAAGAAAAGAAAAGAAAAGAAAAGAAAAGAAAAGAAAAGAAAAGAAAAGANGAAAAGAAAAGAAAAGAAAAGAAAAGAAAAGAAAAGAAAAGAAAAGAAAAGAAAAGAAAAGAAAAGAAAAGAAAAGAAAAGAAAAGAAAAGAAAAAAAGTTGCATCTACTTCACTGCACTGTATCTATTTGCAAGGCCACAGAGAACCAAATTCCTGTCCATATACTGACATATAAATATATATGTATACATATAGATATGTATAGGTATATTAGATAGATATGTTTAGACTTATTTATGCTATTAGGCCTGCTGTAAGCTTCAACATTGATGGCTTTCTCTGAATGGGGTATTTACTTTTCACATCTCTGAAATTCTTCTAGAATCCTTCTGTTGTGGCATTTATTGCTGTTGTTTTTAAAGGCTTTTGTGGGATAAAGTACTTTAAGGTCATTACACATTAGTATTAGCTAATGCTGAGTATGAAAAAATAATTGTTGGGACTGCGGATTTTCCAAATATAGTTTTCGCTTTTTTTGTGATATCATGGCATTGCCAATTGATATTTAATTATAATTAGTCAGTTTAACCGTAAGAATGCCTTGAATACTTTTATTGCCTGCTTCTGAAAACAATGTATTCAAGGTACTGCTTGCTTTTTCATAAGCAAGTTTTATTTTAGCAATCTCAGCTGTAATTTGTAATTAAAACTTTCTTCAAGGAAAGTTTTTCTTTGCTCTCAGTTTAATGTATTCCTAAGTAAAAGTTGGCTGTGCATTGCAGATTTCTGCATTACAAATTCCCTTTAATGGAAAAGATGTATCTGAAGAAACTTTTGAGCAAATATTTCTTGATCTATCTTAGCTAACTTGTGGAATACTCTTCTAATTAAAAGGACCAAGACTTGATAGTTTAGTCAAGATCAATATGGCAGAGGATTTTAGGAAATTCAACCTGGTAAAATATTGGTCTTTTGTATACAGATAATCACCAAAATTGGTTGTACATGGTAAAGAGCTTTCAGTTTTGTTATACATTATCTCTGAAAGAGATGAGCTTGTGCATGGTGTACTAAAAGTTACACCTGAGCCAGGAACTGTTGACTCAGGACATTTACAGTGGAATGTCTTAGAAATTAAGAAAACACCTTGCATAGCCAAGATGGAGACTTCTGTACCCACGTTTTACAATCTAACCAAAAACCTGGTGTAGAGAGCTGTAGTAAAATGATATTCAGCAGTTTTGTCTGCTATCTAGGAATAAAATATAAAGTTATTGTTTGTTCAAGCTTAAGAATTATATATATAAAAAAGATGAGGGCAAGGAAATAAGTGAAGCCAATTTAAGCAAAACACTTTAAAACAGAGAGAGAGTACTCAAAGACACATGAATTGGGAATTTGGGCCACAACTACAGAGTTAGAGACTGTACCTAGGAAAGTAGTGAGTCTGAAGAAAGATTTAGAATTCAGTCTAAACATCTCAACATTGTGTGGTAAAGTTTTCACTGTATTATGTGTTATGCAAGGGTATACAAGTGACCATGAAGGTCACTTTATTATTTTATGTGCTATTAATGAGACAGGCTCTGGGATATTGAATCAAATTCTGTGTCCAAGCTTTAAAAAGGACATTAAAGCATTAGAAAAGGTATTGAACAAAGCTACTAAACCATGATCTGAGAGACAGAGGGATTTCATTACAGTAAGATACAGTCAGTGCTCGATTTGCTAAGCTATCAAAAAAAAAAAAAAAAAAAAAAAAAGAAGATAGAAAAGTAACATGATTCAAGTATATAAATACCTCAAAGTGAAAAGTACTGGGCGTTTACTCTCAAGAAGAAAGGCAGAAGAATAGTCAATCAGATACAGATAAATTCAAACGGAATTTAAGGAAAGAATTTTAATAATAATGTGGAACATAACTGAACCACTGAAGACAACATGACTTTCTGGAACTAACAATTTAATAAAGTACAAAGTATAGTGTTTCATATATAGGTAGCTTGGTGAAAAGTACTGACCAATAAAAACCAGGCTAAATTAGGAGCTGATATTACAGACCTCATGCCAAAATCTTCAGACTGCCAAGAGCCAAAAGACACCTTCTGGACTTGCAGAGCTTAAGGAAGAGAAGTAATGGGAATATTTGAAAAGTGAGAAATGGTGTCTTCCCAGTGCTGTTCTTCCCTGGGGCTGGGTAGCATACTTGCAGGAACCATTAACCCAAAACAGTAACCTGTAATTATACGTGATAACGTGCATTATACATGATAATGTCGGTCCATTTCGCTCAATTCCTCTCACTGTTGGGTGTTTGGGTTGCCCAGCAGCTTCTCTCCCGACATAGCATGGAATTAAACCCCAGAATGGAAACTGCATTTGGGCTGCTGATAAACTACAGCCAGTACAAACATAAGAGATTGACCAGTGTTGTGAAGGAATGAGCTAATGTGCTATCTGTGACATCCACCTGCAAAGAAGAAAGAAATTTAAGGTAATGATAACCTTGGCATGAAAACAAATGGATGGAAAGTGGCCAAGAATAAATTTAGATTGTAAATTAAAAGGTTTTCAAGCACGGAAATACTTCAGGAATAGTCTTGCACTGGGAGAAGAGATATAAAAGCCTGTTTCAAGGTGAGAATTGATAAGGACATTTGGATGTTGTGAGAGGTATGACTGCTATTGCAGGAAATAGATTCAGTTTCTTTCAATCTCTCTTTAAAACAGTACAATTTCTGAACTAGAAAAAAAGAAAACAAAACAAATATATAGCCAGGATAACTATATAGCAAGAACATCCATCACCTACAGAATTTAAATGAGAGAACTCAACTAACAGTATCGGTAATTCATTTTGCAAGAAAAGGCATAAGTCATTAAATTTGAATTTCTGAAGTAGGCATATTTTTAAAAGAAAACCTAACTTTCTCTTTCCTTCTCTTAAAGAAAATTATTGAAGAATTCTTCAAATGGAATTTCACAATCTCCCCAAACAATCAAAAAATGTTATATGTTATATATGCATTTTTAAAGTCGTATTTTGGAAAGCTATTTAAATGATATTCTTTTTGAGACTTTCTTGTCACTGGTGTGTTACTGAAAGTACTGATTTTCACTGATTTCTCGCATCAGATAATAGTATAGATCCAAAACTTTTTGAACTATTCATCTTCAAGGTGTTTTTCTTTAATCATTTTGAAACACAATGTGTTGTTTCAGCCCTTAAAAGTGTAATTAGTTATTTAAAAATATCAAAGAAAAGAAGTAGTGGGGTACTGAGAATATTAATATGAGAAAATTTATAACTCTCCAGAAAAGGCTAAGTAGGAATATTCTAAAAAAGAAGTGCAGGAAGAAATTCTGTCTCACTGACTCTTCCAAATTTTTTCCTGGTACAGTAGAATGCCAGAAATGAAAAAGGAATATGGTGTGATGATCCCTTATGCTAGACACTTACCAGGAAAATGCTACGAACATGTACAAGTTAGAGCATTGCCATAGTTTATCCAACTTATTCCGAGCATTAACTGCAGAGTCTCACTA